CTGACCCCTGTACACTGCAACTACATACTACTGTACCCCTGTACACTGCCCTACATACTACTGACCCCTGTACACTGCCCAACATACTACTGACCCTGTACACTGCCCAACATACTACTGACCCCTGTACACTGCCCAACATACTACTGACCCCTGTACACTGCCCAACATACTACTGACCCTGTACACTGCCCAACATACTACTGACCCTGTACACTGCCCTACATACTACTGACCCCTGTACACTGCCCAACATACTACTGACCCCTGTACACTGTGACCCCAACATACTACTACTGACCCCTGTACACTGCCCAACATACTACTGACCCCTGTACACTGCCCTACATACTACTGACCCTGTACACTGCCCAAATAATACTACTGACCCCTGTACACTGCCCTACATTACTACTGACCCTGTACACTGCCCAACATACTACTGACCCCTGTACACTGCCCTACATACTACTGACCCCTGTACACTGCCCTACATACTACTGACCCCTGTACACTGCCCTACATACTACTGACCCCTGTACACTGCCCCAACATACTACTGACCCCTGTACACTGCCCAACATACTACTGACCCCCTTTACACTGCCCAACATACTACTGACCCCTGTACACTGCCCTACATACTACTGACCCTGTACACTGCCCACACATACTACTGACCCCTGTACACTGCCCTACATACTACTGACCCCCTGTACACTGACATACTAACTGACACTGTACACTGCCCTACATACTACTGACCCCTGTACACTGCCCTACTTACTGACCCCCTGTAACACTGCCAACATATACTACTGACCCCTGTACACTGCCCCAACCATACTACTGACCCCTGTACACTGCCCTACATACTACTGATCATCCCTGTACACTGCCCCATACACATACTTTACTGACCCCTGTACACTGCATTACATACTGACCCTGTACACTGCCCTAACATACTACTGACCCCTGTACACTGCCCAACATACTACTGACCCCTGTACACTGCCCTACATACTACTGACCCCTGTACACTGCCCTACATACTACTGACCCCACTGTTACACTGCCCAACATACTACTGACCCCTGGACACTGTACAATATACTACTGACCCCTGTACACTGCCCAATACATGATACTGACCCCTGAGACACTGCCCAACATACTACTGACTGTGCCCTACCCATACCCTGACCCCTGTACTGCCCTACATACTGACTGGCACTGCCTGTACACTGACCCTACATACTACTGACCCCCTAGTACACTGCCCAACATACTACTGACCCCTGTACACTGCCCCTACATACTACTGACCCTGAACACTGCCCTACATACTTACCCCTGACCCCTGTACTACTGCCCTACTACTACTACTACTGACCACTGTACACTGTACCTGCATGCATACTACTGACCCTGTACACTGCCCTGCATACTACTGACCCCTGTACACTGGCCAAACATACTACTGACCCTTTACAACTGCCCTACATACTACTGACCCCTGTACACTGCCCTACATATTACTGACCCCTGTACACTGCCCCTACATTACTACTGACCCCTGTACACTGCCTGCATACTACTGACCCCTGTACACTGGCCTACATACTACTGAACCCCTGTACACTGCCTACATACTACTGACCCCTTGTACACTGCCTACATATTACTGACCCCTGTACACTGCCCTACATACTACTGACCCCTGTACACTGCCCAACATACTACTGACCCCTGTACACTGCCCTACATACTACTGACCCCTTACACTGCCCTACATACTACTGACCCCTGTACACTGCATTACATACTACTGACCCCTGTACACTGCCCATTACATCATTACTGACCCCTACACTGCCCTACATTACTACTGACCCCTGTACACTGCCCTACATACTACTGATCCCTGTACACTGCCCAACTACTACTGACCCCCTGGACACCATCCAACATACTACTGACCCCTGGACACCGTCCAACATACTACTGACCCCTGTACACTGCCTACATACCACTGACCCCTGTACACTGCCTAACATAGTACTGACCCTGGACACTGTCCAACATACCACTGACCCCCTGTACACTGCCCAACATAGTACTGACCCCTGTACACTGTCCAACACAGTACTGACCCCTGTACACTGCCCTACATACTACTGACCCTGGAAACTACCCAACATACTACTGGCCCCTGGACACTGTCCAACATACCACTGACCCCTGGACACTGTCCAAACTACTACTGGCCCCTGGACACTGTCCAACATACCACTGGCCCCTGGACACTGTCCCAACATACCACTGACCCCTGGACACTGCCCAACATACTACTGGCCCCTGGACACTGTCCAACATACCACTGGCCGCCCTGGACACTGTCCAACATACTACTGGCCCCTGGACACTGTCCAACATGACTACTGACCCCTGGACACTGCCCAACATACTACTGACCCCTGGATACTGACCCAACATACTACTGACCCCTGGACACTGCCCAACATACTAATGACCCTTGAACACTGCATATCAGCCCCACATACTGCTGACCCATGTACAGCTGCCAACATACCACTGACCCCTGTACACTGCCCCCACCTACCACTGGACCCATGTATACTGACCTACATACCACATTGACCCCTGTGACACTGTCCAACATACTACTGGCCCCTGGACACTGTCCCTACCCAACATATATTGACCCCTGTACACTGCCCTACCTACCACTGAACCCTGTACCCCTGCCCTACCTACACTGACCCCTACACTGAATGCCCTGACTAATGACCCCTGTACACTGCCCTACCTACCACTGACCCCTGTACACTGACCTACCTACCACTGACCCCTGTACACTGACCTATGACCTGTACACTGACTACCCCTGTACACTGCCCTACCTACCACTGACCCCTGTACACTGACCTACCTACCACTGACCCTGTACACTGCCCTACATACTAATGACCCCTGTACACTGCCCCACCTACACTGACCCCTGTACACTGACCCCTGACACTATGCCCCTACATACCACTGACCCCTGTACACTGACCTACCTACCACTGACCCCTGTACACTGACCTACCTACCACTGACCCCTGTACACTGACCCTACCTACCACTGACCCCTGTACACACTGACCTACCTACCACTGACCCCTGTACACTACACTAACCTACCTACCACTGACCCTGTACACTGACCTACCTACCACTGACCCCTGTACACTGACCTACCAACCTACCACTGACCCCTGTACACTGACCTACCTACCACTGACCCCTGTACACCCCTGTACTCTGCCCTGCACACATTTTACATTGGCCAAAACAGAGCAAACAGCCAGGCTAACATGAGGAGCCCAGCTTGGACTGGAACTAGTGGAGCCGTCAGCCTGCAGTACCAGATGGTCTTTCTTCACGATGTGTCAGTAATTTTCAGACATGAAAAGGAAGATTGAATGAAAGTGAATGAAAGTGAATGCCGAGATTGATGCTTAAGCTACATTTTAAGCCAGGCCAAGTTTATATTTTTACAGAGACTTTCGTTTTACTAGATCTTTATTGGTCTTCTTTATGCCAACTCTACTTTTTCTTACTAGCGAACTTCTTGAAAAAAAAATAGAGGGGGGGGATGTGTCTAGTCTTTGCTCTCTTCCATGTTGGTCAGGTAGATCTCCCCCTCTCATAGGTCACCCACCCTTGGTTTAGACGGAACCTTGAGCTCTTCCCAATTCTCAACACATTTTTACCATGAAGGAATCCTTGAAAGTCTCAGGGAACTCCGGCCAAAAGTCATACTAGCGACAGTTCATGGAACATTCCCTGACCAGCGACTTGTCCCATATATAACAGGACATACCAGAACGGTCGCAATGCTGCTCACACAACAATTGTTTTTATATTTGGGAGATCTATGGAGAAACCATCTCTCTTGAATTCCCCTCACTGCAGACGCCAGGTGCCAATCCCCGCAGCCTCCCCCACGTTCAATATTCACACATCCCGATGACATCACTGCTATCTCAGCTTATGCATCCATGAACAGCAACAGACACAACCCCACCTGAAGACCACGTCTCTACACAAGATGAGTGGCCTTCATGTGGGGTTACAGAATGTCTGTTGCTGTTCAGGGCTGAAAAAATGGAGATTTCCAGAGATGTAATCAGAGTGTGAACTGTCTGTGTGCATCAACTATTCATATATAAGAAGAATGCCCCTTACATTGGAGGTCAGTTGGGAAAATGTCCCTTACATTGGGGGGGGGAGTCAGTGGGAAGAATGTCCCTTACATTGGGGGGGGAGTCAGTGGGAGGAATGTCCCTTACATTGGGGGTCAGTGGGAAAGAATGTCCCTTACATTGGTGGTCAGTGAGAAGAATGTCCCTTACATTGGGGGGGGTCAGTGGGAAGAATGTCCCCTTACATTGGGGGGGGAGTCAATGGGAAGAATGTCCCTTAAATTGGGGGGGAGTCAGTGTGAAGAATGTCCCTTAAATGGGGGGGGAGTCAATGGGAAGAATGTCCTTTAATTGGGGGGGAGTCAGTGGGAAGAATGTCCTTTACATTGGGGGGATCAGTGGGAAGAATGTCCCTTACATTGGTGGTCAGTGGGAAGAATGACCCTTACATTGGGGGTCAGTGGGAAGTCCTTACATTGGGGATCCATTGTGGGAAGAATGTCCCTTACATTGGGGGGTCAGTGGGAAGAATGTCCCTTACATTGGTGGTCAGAGGGAAGAATGTCCGTTACATTGGGGTCAGTCAGTGGAAGAATGTCCCTTACATTGGTGTGGTCAGTGGAAGAATGACCCTTACATTGGTGATCAGTGGGAAGATGACCCTTACATTGGTGATCAGTGGGAAGAATGACCCTTACATTGGTGGTCAGTGGGAAGAATGTCCGTTACATTGGGGGTCAGTGGGAAGAATGTCCGTTACATTGGGGGTCAGTGGGAAGAATGTCCCTTACATTGGTGGTCAGTGGGAAGACTGTCCCTTACATTGGGGGGGAGTCAGTGGGAAGAATGTCCCTTACATTGGTGATCAGTGGGAAGAATGTCCCTTACATTGGTGGTCAGTGGGAAGAATGTCCCTTACATTGGGGGGGTCAGTGGGAAGAATGTCCCTTACATTGGTGATCAGTGGGAAGAATGTCCCTTACATTGGGGGGTCAGTGGGAAGAATGTCCCTTACATTGGGGTCAGTGGAAGAATGTCCCTTACATTGGGGGGGCAGGGGGGAAGAATGTCCCTTACATTGGTGATCAGTGGGAAGAATGTCCCTTACATTGGGGATCAGTGGGAAGAATGTCCCTTACATTGGGGGTCAGTGGGAAGAATGTCCCTTACATTGGGGGTCAGTGGAAGAATGTCCCTTACATTGGTGGTCAGTGGGAAGAATGTCCCTTACATTGGTGGTCAGTGGGAAGAATGTCCCTTACATTGGGGGTCAGTGGGAAGAATGTCCCTTACATTGGAGGTCAGTGGGAAGAATGTCCCTTACATTGGGGGGGAGTGGGAAGAATGGGGGGGGTCAGTGGGAAGAATGTCCCTTACATTGGGGGTCAGTGGGAAGAATGTCCCTTACATTAGGGGTCAGTGGGAAGAATGTCCCTTACATGGGGGTCAGTGGGAAGAATGTCCCTTACATTGCGGGGGGGGAGTCAGTGGGAAGAATGTCCCTTACATTGGGGGGGAATCAGTGGGAAGAATGTCCCTTACATTGGGGGGGAGTCAGTGGGAAGAATGTCCCTTACATTGGGGGGAGTCAGTGGGAAGAATGTCCCTTACATTGGGGGGGTACAAGAAAAATAAAACAGTAATAGAGGTGAAATCTTCCAATGGGGGCAATTGTTCTGGTGACAACTGTCTAAGTGGGGATTCCCTCTTCAGTCTATGGATATTTCCTCTCACTCCCTGTTGTGTCTCCAGAAGGGAACACGAGGAGGAATCTCCCATAATGGACACAGACAGGGTATAAGGCCCGGGTTTAACCCTTCCCTACTTTATCCTAAAGTTAGAAATAGTTTTGGGGCTTTAAATAAACTTTCACCTGTGTGAAGAAGAAAACTATAAATCTGGATGCAATGTTCGGGGGGGGTCTGTTCTGCAGGTCGGTCTCCTCCGTGTCCTCAATGACACCAGAGATAATGGATCTGTATTTGCAGCAAAAGACTTCATAAAAGGATTTGGGCACAACGTGAGCAAACTGAACGTCAGCAAACAGAACTGCTACTTTGCCCTTTTCTGAGAGCGGAATGTTTGTTTTACGAAACATATAAAAGCCAAAGAGAGCGAAAAATCTGATTCACCAGAAGCTGCAGGAAGAGCTCCGCACCATGGAATCCTCCATCTGGAAACTCCTTCTTCTGGCTGCTCTGTATGGGGCAAACATAGGTCAGCCACCGACAGACATAGATGGATAGATAGATATTAGATAGATAGATTGATAGATAGATAGATAGATAGATAGATAGATAGATAGATAGATAGATAGATAGATAGATAGATAAATAGATAGATAGATAGATAGATAGATAGATAGATAGATAGATAGATAGATAGATAGATAGATAGATAGATAGATAGATAATAGATAGATAGATAGATAATAGATAGATAGATAGATAGATAGATAGATAGATAGATAGATAGATAGATAGATAGATAATAGATAGATAGATAGATAGATAGATAGATAGATAGATAGATAGATAGATATAGATAGATAGATAGATAGATAGATAGATAGAAGAGATAGATAGATAGATAGATAGATAGATAAAGATAATAGATAGATAGATAGATAGATAATATAATAGATAGATAATAGATAGATAAATAGATAATAGATAGATAGATAGATAGATAGATAGATAATAATAGATAGATAGATAGATAGATAGATAGATAGATAATAGATAGATAATAGATAGATAGATAGATAGATAGATAGATAGATAATAGATAATAATAGATAGATAGATAATAGATAGATAGATAGATAGATAGATAATAGATAGATAGATAGATAGATAGATAGATAGATAATAGATAGATAATAGATAGATAGATAGATAGATAGATAGATAGATAGATAATAATAGATAGATAGATAGATAGATAGATAATAGATAGATAATAGATAATAGATAGATAGATAGATAATAGATAGATAGATAGATAGATAATAGATAGATAGATAGATAGATAGATAGATAGATAGATAGATAATAGATAATAATAGATAATAGATAGATAATAGATAATAGAGAAAGATAATAGATAAAGATAGATAGATAGATAGATAGATAGATAGATAGATAGATAGATAATAGATAGATAGATAGATAGATAGATAGATAATAGAAAATAGATAGATAGATAGATAGATAAATAGATAGATAATAGATAGATAGATAAAGATAGATGAGATAGATAGATAGATAGATAATAGATAGATAGATAGATAATAGATAGATAGATAATAGATAGATAGATAGATAATAATAAGATAGATAGATAGATAATAGATAATAATAATAATAATAGATAGATAGATAGATAGATAATAGATAGATAGATAGATAATAGATAGATAATAGAAGATAGATAGATAATAGAAGATAATAGATAGATAATAGATAGATAATAGATAGATAGATAGATAGATAGATAGATAGATAGATAGATAGATAATAGATAGATAGATAGATAGATAATAGATAATAGATAGATAGATAGATAGATAGATAGATAGATAATAGATAGATAGATAGATAGATAGATAGATAGATAGATAGATAGATAGATAGATAGATAGATAGATAGATAATAGATAGATAGATAGATAGATAGATAGATAATAGATAGATAGATAGATAGATAGATAGATAGATAGATAGATAGATAGATAGATAGATAGATAGATAGATAGATAGATAGATAGATTAGATAGATAGATAGATAGATAGATAGATAGATAGATAATAGATAGATAGATAGATAATAGATAGATAGATAATAGATAGATAATATAGATAGATAGATAGATAGATAGATAGATAATAGATAGATAGATAGATAATAGATAATAGTAGATAGATAATAGATAGATAGATAGATAGATAGATAGATAGATGGATAGATGGATGAATGGATGGATGAATGGATGGATGAATAGATAGATGATGGATGGGATGGATGACATAGACAGATGAATCGATAAAACCTCTGTAATGTATCATGTGATCTCTCCAGATGCGGTGATCCCTCCTTCAGAGATGAACGCTCAGCCAGGTGAGAGAATTGTATTTGTTTCTATATTTTGTATTCGGATTATCTCTGCACAATGCGAGTCGCAGACATGGGCCGGGTTGCGATGATTTTGCTGATTTTGGGACATGGCGCTCTCACTGCTCATTGTTCTAGTTGTAGGGATGACTCCTTTGTACCCCCCTCCCCTCTGTGATTGGTGATCTGCAGTCACATGGTTCGGCAGTTCAGCCCGATTAGCCCATCGGGAATATTGAACCCAGGAATGACTAGACATTGCTACATTGTACATATATTATTATTATTATTATTATTATTATACAGTATTTATAAAGCGCCGATAGTTCTCTCAGTGCTGTACATTACAGAAGGGGACAGAACATGTGACAGAACAATACCAATACAATGCAAAACATGAGGGGATTGAGGGCCCTGCTCCTTGGAGCTTACAATCTTGGGCCTTTGTAGATGTGATGGAGATATTGGTGATCCCACAGTGCTGTGTATAGGATGAATCCCTCACACATTGTTATTCTGTATCTCAGCTCCAAACGTGGCTCTTCGTGGCATTCCCACCCAATCCAGCACCATGTCTTATTATGGAAGCCCACGGAACGCCAATGACGGCTCTTTGGCCCGGAACTACCTGAGGGCTCAGTGCTCCCATACCAAGCAGGATGATGGGCCCTGGTGGATGGTGGACCTTAAAAGACCTCACAAGATTATGTCTGTGGCCGTCACCAACCGCGTCCTGGAATGTTGCAAGGAACGGATTTTTGGGGCAGAGATCCGAATCGGGAACAATGCAACCAAAGGAGGGACAGCGAACCCCAGGTGAGCCTTCTATGTGTTGTGTTTGTGGCTTTGTTAGCTCTTTATTAGTGATGGATCAAACCCCCCCCCCCCCGTGCGGTTCATGGTCCAACATCCAAACCCAACAAAAGTTTGATGGTGAACTTCAAACAGAGGAGACAATTCAACAAGCAGCATCTGAGTACGGGGGTAAAAACATTCTTTATTGTTTCAGCTGTCAGTGGGGTTGGCCACAATTAAATAAAAAAAAAAAAAGAATAGTTCCCCATTGTTGGTTTCAGTGATAAGAATGGTGCCCCTATGTTGGTGTCAGTGGAAGGAGTTGTTGGTTTGAGCAGGAAGAATAGTATCCCATTGTTAGTGTCAGTGGGAGATATTTTGCCCCATTGTTGGTGTCAGTGGGAGGTTTTGTGCCCCATCGTTGGTGTCAGTAGAAGGAATAGTGCTCCATCGTTGGTGTCAGTGGGAGGAATAGTGCCCCATCGTTGGTGTCAGTAGAAGGAATAGTGCCCATCGTTGGTGTCAGTAGAAGTGGAATAGTGCCCCATCGTTGGTGTCAGTGCACGGAATAGTACCCCATCGTTGGTTTCAGTGGGAACAATAGTGTCCCCTTGTTGGTGTCAATGGAAGGTGTAGTGCCCCATCTATGGTATCAGTGGGAGGAATTGTGACCCATTCCTGGTATCAGTGGGAAGAATTAATGCCTTATGTCAAGTGGAGGAATAGTGTCCCATTGTTGGTGTCAGTAGAAGGAATATTCCCTTATCATTGGTGTTAGTGGAAGGAATGGCACTTTATTGCTGGTATCAGTGGAAGGAATAGTGTCTCATCATTGGTGTCAGTGGAAGGAATGGCGCTTTATTGTTGGTATCAGTGGAAGGAATAGTGCCCCATCATTGGTGTCAGTGGGAGGAATAGTGCCCCATCATTGGTGTCAGTGGGAGGAATGGCACTTTATTGCTGGTATCAGTGGAAGGAATATTCCCTTATCATTGGTGTCAGTGGAAGGAATGGCACTTTATTGCTGGTATCAGTGGAAGGAATAGTGTCTCATCATTGGTCAGTGGAAGGAATGGTGCTTTATTGTTGGTGTCAGTGACAGAAATGGTGCCCTAAGGCCTGGATAAAGGCAAGCAAAGGGCCACATTTGGCAGTTTGGCGCTCACTTGCTGACTCTGACTACTCTTCTCACCAGTTGTGCGGGAGTATAGAAGTAATATAGACGCACTTTGTAAAGAGAAGCGGCACTATGGAAGAGGCACCCAAAAAAGACAAGCAGAGGACGAAGCCTGGCCACCAGTATTGCCCGTGGTCTCCCTGCAGTCAATCATTAACCCCCAATATACATACCATGCCTTGCTTCGCACTGTTCAATGGAGGGGAGGTGCCAGATACAAAATATTTTGTAGATAACGGAAAGTCTTTAGTTTGGCCTAAAATAGCCTGGGTGTCACAGATCAAAGCAAGGGTCTTCCCAATCCAGGGGGTCACCAGCTGTGGGTAATCTACGTGTAGTCGAGCACCAGAGACACGTGATGAGAGTCCGAGAGTGAATTTCATTCATCCACAAATGACAAAAATACGACCACAAGAATCCAACGCGTTTCGGGGGGCCAACTAGCATCCCCCATCAGGACTTTAACATCCATCACAGTACCTACTGGACTCAAATAATGACACCCTGGGTTGTGTGAGTGCAGGAGAAGTATATTATACCGGTGCAGGGGAGGACTGACCATTCGAGCACTAGGGCACTGCCCGAGGGCCCGGGAGTCAGTAGGGGGCCCCATGAGATGCCCCTGGTACCTTTTATAGGCTGTTTTGGGTGTGCTTTGAGTGTGGGCAAGGACACAGGGGCCCCATGATCCCCTATTGCCCAGGGGCCCCATGATTTGTCAGTCCGCCCCTGTACCAGTGCCATCGTTGCATTGACTGTGCTCTATCATTGTGCGTTGTGTCTCTGTTCGGAGGTAACCACGTTCTTAGAGGAGCAGGGCTTTGCTTCCACATATTAGAGCTTCCCCCACTCCTTCAATCACTGGTGGTTTGCAGACGGGTGGGAAAATCAGAAAGAGCAGGAGAAGCGTGGGCAGCACAGTGGCTGTGGTTACATTTCTGTCTAGCGGCTCTATGGTCGTTGGTTTGACTCCCAGCCATGGCACCACCATGCCTGGAGTTTGCATGTTGTCCCTGTGCCTGTGTGGGTTTCCTCCGGGTACTCCCACACTCCAAAGGCATGCTGGTAGGTTAATTGAATCCTGTCTAATTTGGACCGTGGTATTTGTGAATGTGAGTTAGAAATGTTGGATTGTAGGCTCTTGAGGGCAGGGACTGCTGTGAATGTACTATATGTATGCAAAGCACTGTGTAAATTGGCAGCGTTATATAAGTATGTGTAATAAATAAATAAGTGGATGAAGCACAGGTCCACAGAATGGAAAAAGACAACGCAGGGAGATCCTTGTACTGCAGGTCCTCAGGTACAGCTTCCTCTCCAGCAAGAACAACAATGAGCAGCACAGTAGTGCCATCACCAAATCTCCTGAGACTACCAGGGTTGGAAGCAAGGAGATCCTTGCACTGCAGGTCCTTAGGTACAGCGCCCTTCAGCAAGGAGAACAATGAGCAGCACAGTAAGTGCCATCACCAAATCTCCTGAGACCATCAGGTTTTAAAAGCAGGGAGATCTTTGCACTGTATGCCCTCAAGTACAGCTTCCTCTCTAGTAAGGACAACCATGAGCAGCACAGCAGTGACATCATCAAATCTCCTGACACTACCAGGATTGGAAGCAGGTCCACAGGTATAGCTTCCTCTCCAGGAAGGAGAACAGTGAGCAGCACAGTAGTAACTTCACCGAATCTCCTGAGACTACCATATTTTGAAGCAGGAGATCCTTGCACTGCAGGTCCTCAAGTACAGCTTCCTCTCCAGCAAGGAGAACATTAATCAGCACAGTATTGACGTCATCAAATCTCCTTAGATTATAGATTTGGAAGCAGGGAGGTCCATGCACTGCAGGTCCTCAAGTACAGTTTTCCTCTCCAGCAAGGAGAACAGTGAGCAGCACAGTAGTGACATCACCAAATCTCCTGAGACTACCAGGATTGGAAGCAAGGAGATCCTTGCACTGCATGTCCACAGGTACAGCTTCCTCTCCAGCAAGGACAACAGTGAACAGCACTGTAGTGGCATCAATAGTCAGACAGAGAGTGCCTTAGATGATCTCACACTGCCCATATACAGCTATGAGGTTACAGAACAGGACGTGTCTGGGCAGAGCAGTGCTATTTTTCCAGGAGGCATTCAAATCAATTCTAAGGTTACTGCTGGGGTAGTGATTTTTGATTTGAGGCTTAATTTTTGAGTTCAGGTACGCTTTATATTTCAAGGATTTTATTCAGTAAAACAAGCCAAGAGTACAGACATGTACAATGAGATCGCATATCAACTCTTAATGGCAGTATATAGAAGGAAACACACAAGAAATCATGATGGTAAAACGGGGGGGGGAACACATAAGACCAATGTTCAGTGGAACAAACATATCAAAATGCATTACAGAACACTCAATGGAGGATAATGAACAAATCCTGCTACAGGTAATGATATGGCAAACACAAGCAAAGCATACATAAATAGACCAGTAAAACTCTTTTGTAAGAGTGGACCCCAAATAGGGGAACTGTAAAAATGAAGGGGGAAAAAAAAAAAGGCTTTTTGAAAATGGGGTTGGGAATAGGTCAGGAAGCACCTCCACTTCCCCTCGGGAAAGAAAGAGGTATAGGATCTGGGGTCCAGATTCGCTAAGTGAACTAGGTGCATGTAGACTTGTCGTTCAGATAATCTGCTGAGTCTTGATAATGGAACCAACAGGCCCGTATATGGGTGAATTTAGTCGGGGTGTCATGTGCTATGTGTAACGGAACCGACCCAGACTGCATTTGGGTACTTTAGTTAGACTACCGCTTTCCCGTCTGAACACCGACCACAGACCACAGCAGACCATACAAGACTAGACGACACCAGTTTTGAAGTAATCCAGAAGGTAGACTACTTTATTTGAACACAGATACAAGACATATACACTCAGGGTACAATCCCCCCTCCCTGCATAATGACACAGGGCGGGGCAATCTACATTTAGTAACAAGAGACACACAGGTATTCAAACTTCACACCAGCAGACAGTCCCATCAGGAGGGAGGGCTGCTGGAGACACCCCCACACACACACACACACTAAGCCAATACACAAACACATACATCCAATAATAGTTTGCTCCCAAGCAAGACACACAACAGAACAATGGGATGCAACCACACAACACCAGACAATCCAGAACCCTCACCTATCTCCTAGACATGTCTACACAATATTAGGACAGATCACCCTGTACCCCTAACAGGCACAGGGTGACTTACACATAAGAGGGATATGGGGAGCTGAGACAGGGGTCTCCCCACCTCTCCAAAGTGAGCTGTGTTCCATGGGTCCCTCACCCAAAGTGACTCCCGTCACACTATGTGTATACGTTCCTCCATTTCGGCTATATGACTGATACGTTGGAACCATTCCGCTACAGTCGGGGGATGTGTGGAGTTCCATTTCAATGGAATGCATCGTCTGGCAGCATTTACAAGGTGCATAGCTAAGGATCTATGGTAAACAGAACGGGAGAAAAGATGAATGATGCAGGAGGCATTGGGCAGGTGTGTAATCTAGGTTATATGTAGTGATCCTAGCAATGAGAGCATTTACCGTAGACCAATATCGTCGTCATTTGGGACATTCCCACCAAATATGCAACCGGGAGCCTGGGGAGGAACCACACCGCCAACAGAGAGGTGAAAGAGAGCTGGAAATTTTGTGGAGGAGTTCAGGGGCTTTATACCAGGCAGAAAAAATAATATGTATCCAGTTTCTTGCGTATTCACGTTGACCGAACCCCTATGGGTATGGAACAAGACTCTTCAGTAAGATCTAGAGATAAGCACCTTTCCCACCGCTGACACAGTCTACTGGCCTTCAGACGTAGTATGAGAATGGAAACATGTCCGCTTTAAGAAAACGTCCTCTTGTTGTTTCAGTTGTGGCGTCATCTCATCCATTGAATCAGGAGAGACGCTCTCCTTCTCTTGCCAAGGAATGATAGGCCAGTTTGTGACCATCACCATCCCAGGACGGGGTTGAACATCTTGTCTTGTGTGAAGTCCAGGTCTTTGGATTCCCAGCAAGCAGTGGAGGTAAGGTGCAGAATTTCACAAAAAAGAAAATGAATGACAATGAACAAAGGATAACGAAAAAAGGAAAACAACAAATTCTCTTTCCACCATTACCTCTAGATGAAGTGACGGTCCCAAATGTGTTAAAGACTCCAAATGGAGGTAAGGTGAATTGTTTGGTGTGTGTATCGATCTGCGGCTATCTCATACTCTTCATTAGTATTTGTTGGAAGAATTAGATTTTCTATTGAGTTTGAACTTTTTGCAGCTCCAAACGTGGCTGTCCATGGTGTCCCTCAGCAATCCAGCCTCTATAACATGTATGGAGAAGCCAAAAACGCCATTGACGGGTCTCTAGACAGCAACTACCTTTACATCCAGTGTAGCGGCACCTCCGAGCAGGACAACCCCTGGTGGACGGTCGATCTCAAGGGACAATTTAAGGTCTTCACAGTCGCAGTGACCAATCGAGGAGACTGCTGTGCAGACAAGATCAACGGGGCCCAGATAAGAATTGGAAACTCGGCTGAAGATGGAGGAACCAACAATCCCATGTAAGTCATTTTTTTTTCTTTTAGTTTATTCACCTTCTAGTATGTAAACTGTCCTTGAAAAAGTTCAAAGGTCTTTCTGTGTTTGAACGAGTAGGCGTTCTATAAATGTCCAAAGTATGTTTGTCTCTGTTGAAATGTTGGAAACAAAAACATTCTCACTTACAAATTACAACATCATTTATCAAAGTAGATGTAGATGCCCTTAACCCGATGACCTTCAGTTCCATGTGCATGGTGCATCGTAGACACATTCCAAGCTTTGTTTTTTTTAGCCACTCACCTACCGGGCACTTCTACCCCCTTCCTGCCTACCGGGCACTTCTACCCCCTTCCTGCCTACAGGGCACTTCTACCCCCGTCCTGCGTACCGGGCACTTCTACCCCCTTCCTGCCTACAGGGCACTTCTACCCCCTTCCTGCCTACCGAGCACTTCTACCCCCTTCCTGCCTACCGGGCACTTCTACCCCCTTCCTGCCTACCGGGCACTTCTACCCCCTTCCTGCCTACCGGGCACTTCTACCCCCTTCCTGCCTACCGGGCACTTCTACCCCCTTCCTGCCTACCGGGCACTTCTACTCCCTTCCTGCCTACCGGGCACTTCTACCCCCTTCCTGCCTACCGGGCACTTCTACCCCCTTCCTGCCTACCAGACATTTCTACCCCCTTCCTGCCTACCGGGCACTTCTACCCCCTTCCTGCCTACCGGGCAATTCTACCCCCTTCCTGCCTACCGGGCAATTCTACCCCCTTCCTGCCTACCGGGCACTTCTACCCCCTTCCTGCCTACCGGGCACTTCTACCCCCTTCCTGCCCACAGGACACTTCTACCCCCTTCCTGCCCACCGGGCACTTCTACCCCCCTTCCTGCCCACCGGGCACTTCTACCCCCTTCCTGCCCACCGGGCACTTCTACCCCCTTCCTGCCTACAGGGCACTTCTACCCCCTTCCTGCCTACAGGGCACTTCTACCCCTTCTTGCCTACAGGGCACTTCTACTCCCTTCCTGCCTACAGGGCACTTCTACCCCCTTCCTGCCTACCTACCGGACACTTCTACCCCCTTCCTGCCTACCGGACACTTCTACCCCCTTCCTGCCTACAGGACACTTCTGCCCCTTCCTGCCTACAGGACACTTCTGCCCCCTTCCTGCCTACAGGACACTTCTGCCCCCTTCCTGCCTACCGGACACTTCTGCCCCCTTCCTGCCTACCGGACACTTCTACCCCCTTCCTGCCTACCGGACACTTCTGCCCCCTTCCTGCCTACAGGACACTTCTGCCCCCTTCCTGCCTACAGGACACTTCTGCCCCCTTCCTGCCTACCGGACACTTCTACCCCCTTCCTGCCCCACCGGACACTTCTACTCCCTTCCTGCCCACCGGACACTTCTACTCCCCTTCCTGCCCGCACACTTCTACCCCCCTTCCTGCCTACCGGGCACTTCTACCCCCTTCCTGCCCACCGGACACTTCTACCCCCTTCCTGCCTACCGGCACTTCTACCCCCTTCCTGCCTACCGGGCACTTCTACCCCCTTCCTGCCCAGGCCAATTTTCAGCTTTCAGCGCTGCCACACTTTGAATGACAATTGCACGGTCATGCAACCCTGCACCCATATTAAAGTTTTATCATTTTTTTTCACACAAACAGAGCCTTCTTTTGGTGGTATTTACTGGCCACTGGGGGTTTTATTTTTTGCACTATAAACAAAAAAAAGCAAAACGTTTGAAAAAAAAAGTTTTTTTGCTTCTGTTATAAAATTTTGCAAACAAGTAATTTTTCTCCTTCACTGATCTGTGTTGATGAGGCTGCACTAATAGGCAGTACTGATGGGCACTGATGGGCGGCACTGATGGGCGGCACTGATGGGCGGCACTGATGGGCGGCACTGTTGAGCTGGCACTGATGATGGGCACGGACTGGCGGCACGGCTAAGCAATGATGGGTGGCACTGACTGCTGGGCACTGACTGGTGGCACTGCTCGGCACTGATTGGCAGCACTGCTGGGCACTGATGGGTTGCACTGCTGGGCAGCACTGATGGATGGTACTGCTAGGCTGCACTGATGGGCACTGCTGGACACAGGTGGGCGGCACTGCTGAGCACTTGTGGGTGGAACTGGTGGGTGTCACTGCTGGGCAACGATCATTAGGGCACTGATGATCGGTGCTGATCCCTCCACTGACAACTGCTGGTTCTCGGCAGTACTTTCCTCACGCTGTCCCGGTGATCAGCCTGTCATTGGACATAACTGATCATGTAGTAAAAGGCTGCTGTGATTGGCCTTTTACCATATCACGTGATCAGCTCTGTCCGTAGGACACAGCGATCACAGAGATTGCCAGGTGCACACCCCCGGGGTAGGTTGGACCATGCCTGTATAATGCGCATTCCTAGGTATACCCTAGCCCAGGTATACCCGTTGCTTTTGCAGGGGAACCACCTGCAGCCCTGAATGTATGTAATGATAGGGGGTGTGCTGGAGGGTCTACTGATGCTGGCTGCTGAGGGGATCTATTGTTGCAGGGGGTTTAATATTGCTGGGGAGGTTTATTGTTGCTGGTGGGAGATCTTTTTCTAGGGGGGTTATGTTGCTGAGGGGGGTCGATTATTGTTGGAAGGGGTCTACTGTTGAGGGAGGGGTCTATTGTTGCTGGCTGCTGGAGGGACTATTGATGATGGATGTTGGGAGATCTATTGTTGCTGGGAGCTTTCTTATTGCTGGGGTGGACCTATTGTTGCTGGGGGGGGGGATTTGTTGAAGGGAGGATCTATTGTTGCTCAGAGGATCTGGTGTTGCTGAGGGAATCTTTTGTTGCTGTTAGGGGGTCTATTGTTGCTGGCTGCAGGGGATCTATTTTAGTACTTTTGGTGTTATCATTAAAAAAGAAGTTGAGGTTTTTTTGTTTTTTTTTTTTTAATCATCATTATCTAGATGGATGCTGCATTTGTCCCCCCCCCCCCCCCCCGCCAGGTCAAAGACCACTGATCGCTCCATGCTCTGTGAGTAGAGAGCTGGTGCCAGTCACCATTCTCTGATCTGCCCCCCCCCCCCCCCCCCCCACACACACACTCACTGGAGCGCTGGACTGTGGAGGGGGCAGGAGGACGTGGCTCAGGCTCTCAGCGGAGTGCTGGTCCAGGGATCTGGTCGGATCCCGACTTTAAAGTCAGGATGTTTCTCCAGCCTGGACCAGCTGAATGACGGCAGCCAACAGCCAGTGGTGTATTTAGGTTTTGTGCTGCCCTAGGCAACACAAGAATCGGCACCCCCGCCTGACATTGACCAGCAATACCCCTGCCCCCCCCCCCCCCCCCACCCGGGGAGAAAGTCAACGACCTTTACAGCTCCGGACATCCCTGGGAACAAGAGGCGGGCTCTGCATACACCATCAAGCAGTTGCAAGTCTCTCTCAGCTCCCATCTGGTCCCCATGCCTCAAGCATCCCTTCTTCCGGTGGGCTGTAAGATGGGAAACAGCTCTCATTGTTAGAATACTGTGTGAAGTAAATTAGAGAGTGTCCTGACTGACGTTATGCAGTTTGGCCACAAGATGTAACTGTTTCTAACACAGCCTCAGACTGCATAGATATTTCTATATTCAATAAGGGGTGGGGTTTTCTCAAGGAGAGTGAACAGGAAGAGAAAGAGAAGCCATACTGGAGAGAGAAGAAGGCTGAGTGATTGGAAAATCCGTTGCCATCCAGCTGTGGAGACTGCCCTCCGTAATCAGAAATCCCATTGAGTGAAGCTGATGGTGTTCAAGACGCTAATCCTGTTCAAAGAGGGGAAGATTTGCTGAAAGGAAGCTGATGAGGACAGAGGAGCAAAGCAACACACATTGCTGATAATCTTGCATGCTCAGTGGAGAGACATTTGTTCTGTTCAGGGTCACCAGCGGATACAAAGCAGACCCGGGTCGGTAAGATCGTGCACGCACCTCATTTCAGTGTTGGCGCCTCCAGAGACTGAGTCCAGGCCTATAGTTAGTTAGGGTCTCTGTTTGTGTCAGGCCGCAAGTGTTGTTACTGATCATTGGAAGGACTCCACAACTTAAAGTGGCATTTCACATTGGAGAGCTGATAAAATCCCACAAACTCAAGCCAGACTGGCGTTTTGCTCAGAAGGAATACTCAGGCACGTGCTACAGGACCAGTTATGGGAGGGGGAATACTGTAGATTTGTGTAAGATTGTAAGCTGTTGTGCTGCACCGCAGGCTAGCCCATACCGTACCCCCATACACTGATTCCTACTCTGTGGGGTAATAACAGGTAAGGTGTGGCAGCTTAGTTGTGCCCCCCAGTAGGTAAATTACTCCACTTTCTACCTTCATCCATCAGAAGGTGCCATGCTGTGCAGCACAAGGGTCTCAGCCTTAGGTAAAATTCTGTTGTGACAAAAGCTGGTGTTGGGGTTGCTTTCCTCGTTCGTGACTTCACTGTATCCTGGGGAGCCCACCCCGGTACACGGCTTACAGGGCGGTGCTTCACCCCTGGAAAATGCCACCCTAGGCAACTGCCTTGTTTGCCTTGTGGTAAATACGCCGTGCCAACAGCAGACTTTATCCCACTGTCAGCTGGAAACAAGTCCCAGGAGTTCAGAACGAAGCACTGGCACCACAAAATAATCATTGGTTCTGTATTCTCTAAAAGGGGCCATACTGGAAGGTGTATAGGGGATAAAACCAAGGGAAGGTGCTCGGAGGTGGGTAGGGAATGGATGCAAGGGGCAACTTGGAAGGGGGGAATTATCTGCACCTACTTTCTGAGGAAAAAAAAACCCAGGGTACATCTCATTGCGAAGTGACGTGCAAGGACCAAATTTGTTCAACGTAGCCATAGATGTACAAGCATGCCCCACCCAAACCCTACCATTCCACTTGCTTTCAAGATGAATTAGGGGACCTTGTCAAGGGGAAAGGTGGGTAGGGGATGGATACAAAGGGTGACTTTTTTTTCCACTTCAGCTTTGAGTGAAGTTTTTTTGAGGGTCAGTCAAGGAATGGCCATATACTCCAGCTCTTCCTAGACAGTCCCAAGGCATTCTCAGGATAGCTGGGAAATATACACTCACTGCTAGGGGCACAAAGTAGTCCAGCGCCGGCCCTGCCGGTCAGTCCCTCCTGTTCCATTTTGAGGGTTTTGCCCCAGCTGTATACAGCCGCTCCCAACGGAGCCTCAAGGATGAACATATTCCCGTCTTTGATGAGTCTGAGACATAAGAATGGTAGAACTTCGTGTAACGTAGCCACAATGTATTTTGAAGCTGACTCCTCTTTCTCTTTGCTTATCAATTTCCAGATGTGGAACAATTCCAACAATGGCAAGCGGTGAGACTCTGGCCTTTGAATGTGACGGCATGGTTGGACAATATGTGACCATCTTCATCCCTGGAAAAATGACCTCATTAACTCTCTGTGAGGTCCAAGTGTTTGGACTACCGAGCGTCGTCTCAGGTGATTATATACTGTAGATACAACAACAACTTCAAACGGTAGAGTCTGCAAAAGAACCACACTACTCGAACCACACTACTCGAACCACACTACTCGAACCACACTACTCGAACCACACTACTCGAACCACACTACTCGAACCACACTACTCTAGACTCCAAAATTCTCATCTGCTGGGGGTGCACTAGGGTGCTGGCCATATGTTAGGTGCCGCCTGGCAGTGTCTCTAGCAGCCCACAGCACGGATTTCCTCAGGGCACGGGGTCTAAGTCCCAGCCTGCTATTCACCAGGGCCCCTGATGGTGGGGATGGACTTGGTGCAGACTGGAACCAGGTCGCGACCCCCGAGTGCGTCCGGCTGTGGTAGAGTGTACTGGCAGGGGAGTGCAGGAACGGAGTCTGATGGGAAGAGGCAGGCAGACTTACTAAAGGTGATCTGTGCGGGATGGATGGATCGTCGGGTGAAGTAAGCGTAGTCAGACAGGCCGGGTCGGTATAGTGCGGGCAGCGTGGTACAGGAGGAGCAAGCAGAGAATGGTCGGGGTCACAAGCCAGGTTCAGCAGGTAGCAGGCAGCGCGCGGTACCAAGGATCAGGCAGAAGGATGGTCAGGCAAGCCAGGGGTTAATCAGGAGAATAGGCAGGGTCAGGAACAAGCAGAGGTCGGCAACGGATAACACAGGAACGCAAATCAGGAACAGAACAGGTAAGACCAAACGGCAACTTGACATACCTGTTCCATGTTTAAATAGCCCGCCCCGCGCTGTCATTGGTGCTGGGCGCGTGTCCGTGCTCGCAAGTGCGCATGCACGAATACCGTCGCTGCCGTGCACGCCCAGGTCCCGTCGCTCGTGCGCTAGTGAGGACTGGTGTTCTGCGCATGCGACGCCCGGCGCGACACTGCAGAGCACCAGCGTCCTGACACCAGAGCAGCCTATCCCTGTTTTTTGTGTCCTCCATACAAGAAATTAAAAGGCTTGGGCGCCAATGATGTCAGAAAATGGTATTAAACCAGGTAGGTTCGCTGTGAGTCCCCACCTGAGATCCACCCGTCACGTACCTGATGGGAGACGGAATTGACGAGGTCGGCCTCACTTGTGTCACTAATCCTGAGCCCGCTGAGGTTGGAACAGAGGGCGTCTAAGGACCAGGGGGACAAGAGCACCAGGGTTTTTGCAGATGACCTTGGTAAGCAGGATATCCACTGATTCGGACACTGTAGAAATAGACCAGGCAGGTACAGTGGATTGCCAGATGCACAGCAGAGCCAGGTATGTAGCCAGGACACAGGATTGGAGCGGAGTCATAGGATAGCCAGGGTCATAACAGTCGGGCAGCGCGGTACAGGATCAGGAGGAAAAGCCAAAGTCAGAATCAGAGCCGAAGTCAGGAACCGGGGGGGCAGAAGAGAACTCAGAGTCGGGTCAGGAACAAGCCGGGTCAGCACCAAAGGAATCGCACAGGAAACAAGCAGGACACGGGGGGGGGGGGAGCTAAAGACCAGTCAGCACTGAATCAGCACCGAGGTGTTCTTTAAATAGCCCACCCAGTGCCTGGGTCCTAGTGCCTGCCTGGTGCCGTCATTGGTGACAAACGCACCTTGTCGGGATCCTGCGCAGATTCATGCGCTGCGGCGATCTTCTTGTTCCCTGATAACCCCTCTTCATGCGTTTCACCTTCACAGGCTTAGTCATGTCTCTACACCTAAGCCTCTAAGAGCGAAATGCGTCGGCAAGGGGCGGTTCTTAGGCAGGGACTCACAGCAAACCTACTTGGTTCGATAACATTTTTTACACCGAGCAACAAATGTTCAAACATATCTGAAGTCATATTAGCTTTTTATGTGGAAGCTGTTAAAGCTGTTAAAGCTGATCTACTATAGAGGAAATTGCGCTTACATTTGTAGCGCGTTTTCACAGCGCAAACATTGGGCTCGGTAATCCATTTTTAAGTCGGAGGGTTTTGCTTCGGATACATTTGCAATCCTTAACAGAACAATTTGAGAGCAAGCTGTCATGTGATAACACAAAAACCCGTGAGCTTTCAACTGGAAGCTCATCCCTCATCATGCTGTACAGTAACGGGCAGGGGTGGACTGACTATTTTAGCCACTCAGGCACTGCCCGAGGGCCCGGGGTCAGTAGGGGCCCCCATGAGATGCCCCTGGTACCTTTCATGGGCTTTTGTGGGTGTGGTTTGAGTGTGGGCGAGGACACAGGGGCCCCATGATCCCCTATTGCCCAGGGGGGCCCAGGAGTTGTCAGTCCACCCCTGGTCCTAATGGATAATTGTACTTTTAGGCTTTTTGCACTAATTCAAAGAATCCCTATCTACCCTTCCATGAAGGTCCTCGTTCCAGTGATTCTACTTATAGGTTGACAACTGTCACTCGACCGTGCTCCTGAACTGCCACCCTGTCCTAGGCACCCCTGACGAAGACTAGGCACATCCATAGGAATGCGCATTATACAGGCATGGTCCAACCTATCAGGAAGCCGGTGAGGAACGGCAATGAACAGCCAATGGTTGAGCGAGTGCATGTTGTGGCTTTCAGGGGATGAAGGAGGACAGCAGTAAAAGGTGCAACAAAGGATGATAAAAAATTAAAAACGTTATTAACCTCTTGCTGACCGCAGATAGCCGAATGACGGCTGCACTGCGGCCGGCTGGTTCTGGGTGGAAGTCATATGACGTCCTCCCAGAACACGCTGGGTGAGGACACAGGAGGCCCATGATTTCCTATTGCCCGGGGGCCCCATGAGTTGTCAGTCCGCCCCTGGTAACGGGTATTATGATTCAGAAACGCTCCACCTACTATAGTAAAAACCCATCCTTGAGGTCCAGTCAGTGACTTTGCCAAGGCTGAGATGATGTCATCAGTCCGATGCGGGCAGGGAGAACATGAAGTGTTAAACTCTTTGTTATATTTTATTAGAAATAATTTATTGCATTTATGTGTTTCTATATTCCTAGATGACACTCCAAAGATCAACGAAGGTAAGTTCATTTATCTATGTATTCATTCAAACCTTTAAATTCTTATCTTTACCAATAATAGGAAAAACAATTGTGTGAATATTTACATCCATCAGCCATAACTATATGACCACCCACCTAGTATTTAGTAGATTCCCATTTTGCTGCCCAATCATCCCTGACCCATCCCACCATGGACTCCACCAGACCTGTGAAGGTACACTGTGGTATCTGGCACCAAGCCGTCGGTAACAGATCTTGTAAGTTGTTAGGTGGGGCCTCCATGGATCGGATTTGTTTTTGCAGCATATCCCACAGATGATCGATGATTGGATTGAGATGTGGAGAACCTGGAGACCAAGTCAACACGTCAAACTCATTGCTGTGTTCCTCCAACCTATATTGAACCATTTTTTTGTGTGGGAGGGTGAATTATCCTGCTGAAAGAGGTCACTGCCATCAGGGAATACCGTTTCCATGAGGGGGGGTAGTTGGTCACCAACAATGTTTAGGTAGGTGGTAAGTGTCACATAACATCCACATGACTGGCAGGACCCAGCAGAACATTGCCCAAAGCATCACCCTGCCTCCACCGGCTTGTCTTCTTCCCATACTGCATCCTGGTACCATCTCTTCCCTGTGTACGTGACACACACATGTGGCCAACCATATGATGTAAAAGGAAACATGATTTATCAGACCAGGCCACCTTCTTCCATTGCTCTGTGCTCCAGTTCTGATGCTCACGTGCCCATTGTAGGCACTTTTGGCTGTGGACATGGCTCAGCATGGACCCCCTGACTGGTCTGCAGCTAAACAGCCCCATACACAACAAACTGCGATGCTCTGTGTGTCCTGACACCTTTCTATCAGAAGAAGCATTCACTTTTTCAGCAATTTGAGCTCCAGTAGCTCTTCTATTGGATCGAACTACATAGACCAGCCATCCCTCCCCACGTCCATCAATGAGCCTTTCCTCCCCATCTCCATCAATGAGCCTTCCCACCCCACCTCCATCAATGAGCCTTCCCACCCCACCTCCATCAATGAGCCTTTCCTCCCCACCTCCATCAATGAAATTTCCCTCCCCACCTCCATCAATGACCCTTCCATGCCCTCCTCCATCAATGAGCCTTTCCTCTCCCACTTCCACCCAAGAGTCTTCCTTCCCCCATCTCCATCAATGAGCCTTCACTCCCCCACCTCCATCAATGAGCCTTCACTTCCCCACATGCATCAATGAACCTGTCCCCCCACCTCCATCCAAGAGCCTTCCCTCCCCCCACCTCCATCAATGAGCCTTCCCTCCCCAAATCCATCAATGAGCCTTCCCTCCCCACTTCCATCAATGAGCCTTCCCTCCCCACTTCCATCAATGAGCCTTCACTTCCCACGTGCATCAATGAGACTTCCCCCCATCTCCATCCAAAAGCCTTCCCTCCCCCCACCTCCAGCCAAGAGCCTTCCTTCCCCCACCTCCATGAATGAGCCTTCCCTTCCCCCAGCCTTCCCTCCCCCACCTCCATCAATGAGACTTCCCCCCACCTCCATCCAAGAGCCTTCCCTCCCCCCACCTCCAACCAAGAGACTTCCTTCCCCCATCTCCATCAATGAGCCTTCACTTCCCATGTGCCTCAATGAGCCTTTCCCCCCACCTCCATCCAAGAGCCTTCCTTGCTCCCCCAACTCCATCCAAAAGCCTTCCCTCCCCCCACCTCCAGTCAAGTGCCTTCCCTCCCCCACCTCCATGAATGAGCCTTCCCTCCCCCCAGCCTTCCCTCCCCCACCTCCATCAATGAGACTTCCCCCACAGCCATCCAAGAGCCTTCCCTCCCCCCACCTCCATCCAAGAGCCTTCCTTCCCCCATCTTCATCAGTGAACCTTCCCTCTCCCCCACCTCCATCAATGAGCCTTCCCTCCCCCACCTCCATCAATGAGCCTTCCCTCTCCACCTCCAATGAGCCTTCTCTCCCCCCCAATCAATGAGCCTTCCCTCCCCACCTCCATCCATGACCCTGGTTCCAGTTAGACGGTTTTCCTT